ATTGTTTTTCTTCTTCCGGGAAAACCGTTTTTGCAGCCACGGATTTGCCAGCCCTCGCCCAGCTGCACGTTTTCGGTCACAGGTTTGTTTCGGTCACCTACATTTTCGGCTGACACATGCCTGGGAAGAAATTGGAGCACACTCATGCCGCCTTCATCTGTCAATGCCCCTCCCCAGTGATCAGTGCTGGCGGTGGGTGGAACAAGCTGCACTTCGACCGCAGTCCTCCCCGCGCGTGCCAGCTTGGAGTTTGGGGGAACGTCCACTAAATGTTTCCCTCTAGTCATCGTTTTCTTAATCGGTGTTTCGGCATTGGGCGGAAGGGGGGGAAGGGGGGGGTCTGGCTCCGGACCTGTGTTTAGTGCGACTGTTTGCAGCAGTGCGTCCACCTGCTCGAAACAGGCGCCCCCCAAAAAAACCAAACGGGCCCGCGCCGATCGACAAAACGACGAACAAAAGAACGATCACCTACCGTAGGGGCGGGTGCCATGGACCGACCGTCCCGGCATTCCTACAGGCCTACCACGACATGTTCTTAGAACCCAAACTTGTTCTAAGAGCAAGAGCCATGCTCTTAGAACAAAAACCCGACGTGTGAAAACGAGACGGCCCCGGCCAGAAATGTTCTACGAGCATTTCGTGCAGACCAAAGAAAAGGCTCTTGGAACACTCCTTGGTGGGCCTCTGGGCGAGCCAGGACGCTCCGCCCCTGCTTGAATGAGGGGGGCCACATGCGAACCCTCCCCCCACCCCCCACGATTTCTGAGGGGTGGGGGGTGGGGTTCACTTCGCTCGGGAGCTCCCGAACGAAAAGACCCACCGCCACCGCCACCGCCGCCGCCGCCGCCGCGGCCGCCGCAGCCGCCGCAGCCGCCGCAGCCGCCGCCGCCGCAGCCGCCGCAGCCGCCGCCGCCGCTGCCAAGTGTACTCTGCATTGTTCTTTGATAGGGATGGTGGGGGGAGGCCGCATCGGGTTGGCTGCGCATGCTCCGAATTTGGAGGCAGAGTGTGTTTTGTATGGTTTTTGCAAGGGATGGTGGGGGGCGGGGGGAGAGGGTTCGCATGTGACATGGCCCCCAATGAATGACACCTCTGGCGCGGCGGGCAGGAGCCGGCACGGGCGCGAGGGGCGGCCCCTCCTCCCAGTGAGAGGCGCCTCCTCCTCCTCCTCCTCTGCCTCCTCCTCTGCCTCCTCCTCCTCCTCCTCCTCCTCCTCCTCCTCCTCCTCCTCCCCTCCTCCTCCTCCTCTGCCTCCTCCTCCTCCTCCTCCTCTTCTTCTTCTTCTTCTTATTATTCTTATTCTTATTCTTATTATTATTATTTTTCTTATTCTTCTTCTTATTCTTATTCTTATTCTTCTTATTATTATTGTTATTATTGTTACTACTACTAGTATTATTATTCTTATTATTCTTATTATTATTAGTATTATTATTATTATTAGTAGTAGTATTATTAGTATTATTAGTATTATTATTATTCCTCTTCTTCTTCTTCCTCCTCCTCCTCCTCCTCCTCCTCCTCCTCCTCCCTCCTCCCTCCTCCCCCTCCCCCTCCCCCTCCTCCTCCTCCTCCTCCTCCTCCTCCTCCTCCGCCTCCTCCGCCTGGCGCGGCGACCACCCGGGGGGGAAGCAGCGAGAAGGCGAAGCCTGCGGCTCAGAAGTCTCCGAAGCCGTCCGGCCTCCTGAGAAGTCTTCTGCAGTAGAGCCTCCGGAATCGAATCGATAAAAGTCGAGCCAGCGATCGAAGTGAGTCGGATCGGCAGCCCGGTCGGAAGAGGTCGAATCCGCGGAAATCGGCAGCCTGGGTAGGCCTCCATGGATGAATCGGAATCGAAATCGAAATCCAAAGTCGAATCGAATCGGAATCGGAAGCCATCGAAAACGAATCGAATTGAATCGGAGGGGTGGAAATGAGCTCTGCTTCTGAGCCTTCCCCGAAGACACAGGAAACCTCTCAAAGGTGCGAGGGTTTCTGAGGAGTCCCGCCGCCTTCTGAGAAGGCCCTCTCCTTCTTACTCCCCCCCTCCCCTCACCTCCGACGTCGCGAGCAAATTGCAACATCCCAAGCAAAAATCACGACCAGGGCCATGGGCCCCATTTGTCTGCGCCATTTGTCGAGCTGTATCGATATTTGAGGGTCCCCATGGGCCCGAAACTGGGCGGAAACGCCCGTTGTGAAAGAACTGCAGCGCCAAGATCTGAGGGTCGCTCGCCTCAGAAATATGATGACCCCGGTCAATCCAGACCCGGGTCAGCCAGGCTTTGCAGGCTCCTGCGCCCTGACCCCGGCCAATGCACCCCTGGCCCTGCAGGATCCTGCAAGGTCCGGCGCTCGGACTGACCCCTATTTGCATTGACCCCAGTCTCCGGAGCCGCTATCGCCGCCGATCCTCCAAGATCTGGTGTGTCGCCGAAGATATGCCACTGCCCCAATGGGGTCCCCAGGATTCGGGGATGGACAGAACCCCCTTTAGCAAAACGTGGTTGAGAAAAAGACCTCGGGCCCAAACCTGGCGGGCGCAAGCCTGGAAAATGGCGGCCGCGGCGCCCGCTCGACCTGGAATATGGCGGCCGCGGCGCCCTCTCGAGAACCGAAAACGAACAATTCACTAATTAATCGACGTGTCAGGGTGGGGGTTCTGTCCACCCCCGAAGGGTCTCCCCAGAAGCCCCCACGGCCTCCGGGGGCACCAGGCCCAGGGGGACCCCGGGGGGGGGGGCGGGCGGGGCTCCAACCACCTTGCGGAGGACGCAGGTGGCGGCTGGATGCTCGAGCCTCGATCCTCAAGACGAAGCCAGGACGAGGATAAAATCGGGTGAGGACAAATCGAGAATCTCGAGAACCTCGATCCTCAACCCGCCCCAAAATCGGCCGCCGCATCAGAGGACGCAGCTGGCGGCTGGGTCCTCGAGCCTCGGTCTTCAACCCGCCCAGAAACTGTCCCCAGAGCCCTCTCTGGGGGTCCATCCTGGGACCAACAGGGGGGGGAGGCCGGGCAGAGTGGTGCGCGACGAGCGGGGCGCCACCCACCCCTTCCAGAGGACGCAGTCGGCGGCTGGATCCTCGAGCCTCGATCCTCAAGACGAAGCCAGGACGAGGATAAAAATCGGGTTAGGATTAAATTGAGAATCTCTGAGATCCGGCGGCTCTGGAGGATGTCTCGCCGCGGCCTTCGCAGAGCGTCCCGGAACGCTCTGAGAGCGTTCTGGGACGCTCTGGACCGGATTTGTCCTCGTCCTAATCCCACCAGCCCTTTGGGCGTGAGTGGTTTAGAGAGCCCGCTCTGTTCTCAACCCCCTTCTTCCCCTTCGGGGAGGGGTTTACCCTTCCCCCTACCCCCTCCCCCTGGGCCTGGAGAGGGCGCCCCGCGGGTGGTTGGAGGGGTCTTTTTCGACTCCTGGGAGGGCTAAAAAACGACACCCTTCACGAGGATTCTGGCCCCGACGGGGGGAGGCAGAAAAATGCTCCCCTCTTCTTTGAAGCCAAAATCATTGATTTTACTACGGTTTTGGCCCCATTCTGGCCTTCTGAGGGGGCAGCGCTAATTAAAGCTCCCCTCATTGATTTTACCAAGTTTTTGGCCCCATGTTGGCCTTCTGAGGGGGCAGCGCTAATTAAAGCTCCCCTCTTCTTTGATCGATTTCCTCCAAGATGGCCCCAAGAAGCGCCCAGGAGGCACCAAGAGGCCCCAAGATGGCCCCAAGAGGCCCCCAGGAGGCCCCCAAGAGGATCCCAAACGGCCCAAAGAGGCCCCCCCGAGGCACCCAAGACGCCGAAAAGCCCATCAGGACGACCCTCTACTCGCCTGGGCGTCGTTTCTGGACGGGCAGGAGGAGGGGCCCGAACGACTCACACCAGGACGAGGGGCCCGAACAACTCACACCACGAGAAGCCCGAACGACTCACACCAGGACGAAGAGCCCGAACGACTCACACCACGAAGAGCCCGAACGACTCACACCAGGAAGAAGGGCCCGAACGACTCACACCAGGACGAGAAGCCCGAACGACTCAAACCACGAGGAGCGCTTTCTCTCCCTCCTCCTCCGCCTCGTCCTTCTCCCGCTCCCACCACAAGAAGGATGTACAAGGAGGCGGGAGGAAGGATGAACAGGGGAGATATGCGGGGGCAAGCGGAAACACGCCTGAAAAACAAGACTGTCGGCATGCTTCGCTAGAGTTGCTGCTTTGAGATGGGCTGGTGGGGATACGCGAAGCGTGAAGAATTAACCCTGTCCGAAAGTGGCCTGGATTCGCCAAGGGGGGCTCAGGATACAAGGATACATTACATCGATGCAGACATGCGTTAGCGAACAGGCACTTTGCGAATACCTTGACATCCAGCCGCTCCGATGTTTGATGCGTGGGACCTGGAGGTCCAGACCACTTCCCCAGGACCAGTTTTTCGTCCTGAGTCGTTTTCAGACGCTCCCCAGGCCCGGCGAGGGCCCCCGGAGGCCGACAACTGCCCTAATCCCGCCGCTCCAACTTTTTGGAGCGACGTATCACTCGGCGAGTAGTGGAGCGCGCCTGGCAATCCCCAACCCGGCCCAAGAAACTCTGTCCCCGAATCCCCCTCTGGGGCCCATCCTGGCAAGCTCCTCCCTGTGTCTGCGCCTGGCCGCGGCGACGATGTCCCCCCTCGCTCGCCGCCGAGACGGGCGGCGGCGCCCCCTCCCCCCCCCCGGGGAGGGCGCACAGGCCCAGAGATCCGACGTCGTGATTTTTGTCAGTGCGGGGGCCCAGGAAGTCTCGGCCCACTCTCCAGGGCCAGGTTTCCACCCTGAGTCGTTTTGTGACGGTACCGAGGCCCGGCGAGGGCCTCTAGAGGCCGAAAACGGCGGCAAAACCTCCGTCTTGATTCTTTCCATGCGCTGTGCATCTCTGGGGGGCCGGCCCCGAGGCCCGGCGAGGGCCTCTACAGAGGCCGAAAACGGCGACAAAACCTCCGTCCCGATGTTCGTCCATGCGCCGGATCTCTCTGGGGCGGCGGCGGCCTCCGGCTCATCGGCAGCTGGTCGACGAAGAACGAGGACAGGAAGGAGCCGTCGGACCAGCCTTTCGGCGAGGGGCGGCCCCCCGCCTCGGCCCTCGGCATGCGCCCCCCCCCCTGCTGGGCCGACTGTCCCACCACCCACTACCATAGGCAGGTGGGCAGGTGGGCAGGTTGGCAGGTGGGCAAGTGGGCAGGTGGGAGGAGGGGGAGGCCGAGGAGGAGGAGGAGGACGGGGAGGAGGAGGACCTCCCCTATCCTCCCTCCTCCCCCGTCCTGCCCATGGTGGTGAGAGGCCTCCTAGATGGGGTCCGAGTACGCGTCGCCCATGCATCGGCTCGGCGATGTATCACCGATGCATCGGCGATGCACCGCCGATGCACCGCCGACGTCAGCGATGCATCGGCGACATCGACGTGAAGCGAATCGGGCTCCGCATCGAGCCGCAACGCCGATGCATCGGCGATGCGTCGCGATCCTCTGACTTCATCCACTCCGACCCCATCTAAGAGGCCTAGAGCAGTGGTGGTGGAAAGTCGGCCCATAATCCCCAGGCCAGGCTGGGCCGCCGATCCTGGGAGGCCCTCGTGGGAAACGGCTGCGGGCTGCTGGGCTGGAGGAGGGACGTCCTCGGCACCCCCTCGACGTGCCAGGCCTGGGCCGCAAATCCTCAGAGGAGAACAAAGGTGCCCCTACCCCCTACCACTACCCTGCGTGGGCCTCTCCTGGGAGGCCCTCGTCGCCACCGCTGGATTCGCCTTGGAATTCTGGTCAGAACGCACCCCTGGAGAGGTCCGGGAGTAGCCGTATTGCTAACTTTTTCGGCCTCTCCAGATCCCGGGAGGCCTTCGCGAGAACGGCTGCGGGCTTCTGGGCCCGATAGGGGAGCAACGTGAGCGACGATCGAAAACGGGTCTTGCAGTCGGACCTACCCCAGAAGAGCATCCCTCGAGAACATGAGACCCTCCGCCGGCCAAAACACGCAGAACAGCCAAGGGTACCCCCCAAAATGCACAAGAACATCCAACAAGCACGAAGTACACCCGTCTGACCTCCCCGAACCGACCTCGATCTTATACCTCGGTCCGGCTGTACGTACGCGAGATGACGTATTGCCCTTACGCGGTGGCTTACGTGGGCCGCCAGCGCGGCGCGCTGCAACGCGGACAACTTCCGCACCAATGTTGGCGCCAACGACCCCATATGCTGCCTCGCCCATGTAGTCGGAAGAAACCGTTAAAGCTCAATCTTGAACCGTATTTAGCGGGACTCAGCGGGATTAGCCTGGTTGCCGACCTCGGATACTCCGGTGGAGATGCTGAGTCAAACCTCCCTGGATTTGCATCCTGACCGAGGTCAACTGTCTTCCAACTTCGACTGACTGCGGCAACTTCTGGCTGCAGTGACCGGTTCGGCCCGACCTAGCATAGAAGAACACCCTTCAAGAACATGAGACCTTCCGCCTGATCACTCGAGGGTGTCCCCAAGATGCACAAGAACATCCAACAAACACGAAGAACATTAGTAGAGGAACAAAGAACGGCAAAAACATAAACTTTTGACGGTCCGCGCGGACTTCTTGGATCTGAGATGGACCGCCCTCCCAGGCGCGCAGAGCGCGCCAGGGGCGGCCCCGGAGGCGCCGCCAGGGGGTCCCAGCGCAGATCCAAGAAATCCGCGCGGAGCGCCAAAAGCTTATGTCTACGGAGTTGTTCTTCTTCCGAGTAAGGCATCCTTCCCGAATCGACCTCGATCTTATACTAGGGAAACAAGCTCTATACATCGAGCCTCTTTCTGGGCCTGCACGAACAATTGCACAGGAAAGCGGATCTTGGTGCATGCGGGATCCTGATGCATACAGTTTACGATGTCCCCTCAGGAGAAAGGGGGGAAACAAGTATACACCACACCGCCCCGACGTCGTCCCCGACCCTCAAAAAGTCCTGGGATTGAAAAACAGACCGCCACTGGTAATGTATGTGTTCCATTTTCCGATGAGGGGCAACGATAGGGGGGGACTGGCATGGGGGGGGGGGATGCATCGACCTGGAATCGGCGATACATCGCCGATATATCGGCGATAATTCGGCCCCCGATAGTCAATCCGCACCTTCCTGGGCAGGCTGGGGCTGTCGGGCCCCCATCGGCGATCAATGGGCGATTGCGTGTCGATGCATCCCCCCCTCTGCCCATCCCCCCATCGTTGCCTCTGATCCGATATACCTCGGTCCGACCCTGGCTGCAGCGATCGGTGCCCCAATCTACAGCTTCTAGGCCACGGGCCTTTGCACGTCGCGCCCCCGTCACGCGGGACACCCCCTGGACAAGGGGAGCTCTCCAGCCCCGGCCGCGACGCTGGCCCCCCAAGGAATGACGCCCTCACTGAGAGGGCCCCGGGACACACAGACCAATATCGGGGAGACATAAGACTCGGGAACGGGGGACTCGGGTTGGCCTGACGGGGGCCATCATAAAAATGACGAGACCCCATCTGACATTTTACGCGGGCTCCCGCTGCAGACTATCCACGAAAACGGGACCGTCAAAATCCAGGACGCGCTCGTCAGTCGGCAAATCCAAATTCCAGCTTACTCGAGTCTTACGTTTCCCCGGTTATAGAAACAGCTCCCAGAACTCCCCAAAACTGTTACTCTGTTTTCTGGATGCTCATCTCCTCCTCCGCTTCCCAGATGTTCCGTGCTTTCCTCGAGATCGATGATGATGTGTGTGTGTGTGTCTGTGTTAGCGGAACAAATAATGGCATAAACATAAAAACTCTGAGGTCCGCGCGGATTTCTCAGATCGGCGTTGGACCCCCCTCTCAGGCGCGCGGAGCGCGCCAGGGGCGGCGCCGGAGGCGCCGGCAGGGGAGTCAAGCGCCGATCCGAGAAATCCGCACGGACCTCCGAGTTTTATGTTTATGTCAGTGGTCGTTACCCCATGTGTGCGTCTCTCCCTCCTGAATCATCATCTGCACCTCCACGCCTCCTCCACCTTCGCCGCCGCCCGAGAGGGGGCAACGTTAAGGCGGGGACAGGCCCAGCGGGGAGAACAAAACTGAGCACGCAATCGTTTTCTTGTTTGTTCTCTCTCGCTCTCTCTCTCTCTCTCTCTCTTTCTCTCTCTCTCTCTCTCTCTCTCTCTCTCCCTCTCTTTATATATAAGTATGTATATGTATATGTATATGCATATGTATATGTATATGTATATGCATATGTATATGTATATGTACATGTAAATGTACATGTATGTGTATATGTTTATGTTTATGTATATGTATATGTATAGGTATATGCATATGTATATGTATATATATATATGCATATGTATATGTATATGTATATGTATATGTGTATGTATGTGTACATGTATATGTATATGTATAGTTGCATGTATATGTATACGTATATGTATAGGTATACGTATATGTCTATGTATATGTATATGTATACGTATACGTATATGTATACGTGAAGGTATATGTAGATGCATATGTATGTGCACATGTACATGTATATGCATATGTATATGTATATGTATATGTATATGTATGTGTGCATGTATGTGTGTATGTATGTATGTATATGTGTATGTGTGTATGTGTGTATGTGTGTATGTATGTCTGTCTGTCTGTCGGTCTGTCTGTCTGTCTGTCTGTATGTATGTATGTATGTATGTATATGTATGTAAACATGTGTATATGTGTGCACATATACACACACGCACACGCACACGCACACGCACACACACACACAACCAAACACACACACACACAAGCATCGCTCTGGAATCGGCGGTATGTCGCTAATAGATCGGCGATAGGCGGGATGGGCTGTCGGGCCACAAATGATCGTTTCCTTATTTGGCGCTTCGACATTGGGCGGAAGGGGTGGGGGGGATGGGGGTCTGGCTCCGGACCTCTGCTTCGTGCGCCTGTTTGCAGCAGGGCGTCCATCATGGGGGAGGCTCCACCTGCCCGAAACAGGCGACAAAAATAGCCAAGATCTACTTCATAAAGCGGGGGAGCGGGGGGGGGGGCAGGGTCCGCGCCGATTGGCAAAACAATAAATAAGAAAACGACGACCGGCGATCAGTGGGCGATTAAAAGGAGGTCGACGCATCTCCCCCTTGAGCCTACCCTTAGGTCGGGTATGTCCTCCTACAGGCGGATCTTAGAAGAAAAATGAAACAGTCCAACAATCGTCATCAAACATAGTCAAAAGAGCACGAAAAACGTCACCAGACTAGTCTGTGATTACTGTTCTTCCATATTCCTCCTGTAGAGGGACACGCCAGACTTGACGATAGACAGGCCAGCGGGTGCTGCCCCGATCGGGGGGAGACCAACTGCCCTCTCCTCGAACTGGGCTTAGGTCGGGCATGTCCTCCTACATGCGGATTTCGCACGGAAAATAAAAAAGTTAAACATACACCAGAATGGCCAAACATATAAAAAATAGCCCCCAGACTATCTTTTGAATATGTTTGAATATTCCCCCTGTAGAGGGACATGCCCGACTTACAACTGGGCCCTGGAGGGCTACCTCCCCAGGAGCCTGCTAGGGGCGCCTCGGCCTGCTCGTCCACACCCCAGGTGTGTGTGGGGGGGGGGGCTGTCGTCGCGCACGCACGGCCGACTGTGGCATCTTCTGGTGACTGCCCCTCTCCCCTCAATCTGCAGCTCACAGACGAGCTTGAGGTCGGGCCGGGTGTGTCCTCCTACAGGCGCATTTGTGACGAAAGATTGAACATTAACCCAAACATGCTCAAACATAATCCTCTATACATATATATACACATGTAAAACAAACAAGAAGAACGTCCCGATACTGTTTTGCTTTCTTGTTTTACTTTGTTTGAGTATTCTCGGGCCGGGCGAAAGGGGGGGATAGCAAAGGGGGGGGTGAGAATCAGCTCACGTAGCTGATTTTCCCGGCGCCTCCCGGCGCCAGAGGCGGCTATGTATCGAGGTATGGGCCCCTCGGTGGGGCCGAAACCAGCTGCATGCAGCAGATTTCGTAACCCCCCCTTTCCCAATCCACCCCTTTCGTTCGGCCCGATACTC